ACAAATATATAAAGAAGGAATTAAAATAAGAAATGATACACTCACTTGGGACAAGTACACTCGTTTACAGGCAAAGTTCAACCAAACTCCTTATCAAAACTCCCGATGGAAATTCGATTGGAAAGGACCGGTCAATTGTTGGTGCTGACAAAGACTTGCAGAATGTCAAAAATGTTACCAAGAATTAATTATCTGGATCAATGTGAAACTCTGAATTCCTGATAACATATCAATGATCCTCGATGAAGGTCCAACTAAAGATTGGTGGATGGAGGTGGAGTACCAATAACTTTCTGATAGTATCCCCCCCCCACCAAAACCAAATTCCAAATCCAGGAAGCCGCTCTCATATATCTCCAACACAAAAGAAGGACTACCCAATGCCACGGCTGCAAATATTTTGCTGATGAACTAATAACAGGGATGGTTTTTGAACAAGACGGTTCAAGAAATACATATTGCCAAGACTGTATTGAAAAGGGAAGACTGAACTTACCAGTATGCGCTCAATGTGGACATCGTGCCCCTGCTGCCGAACTGTATGGAATTAGTAATTACGGTCCAACAAAGTATTTTTGTACTTATCTAGAACAATGTGTCTACATGTTCAATCACGGTGGCTGGAGAAGAAATAACAACACAATCCGAAAACTACGAAATGAAGAGAATCTACTAATAGTGTACCAAGAGTGTAACGAGATTGGAAAAGTAATTCTATCCCATTATATTACCAAGTACGACGTAGAAAACGAAATACAATACATCAATTATAACGGATCCGAGGAAGCCTCCGCGACCGAGATCTTTACTTCAATATATCAACAATTATCTCCCGTACGACGCCTCCAGCTGGTCCGATTAAAATATATTAATGTCAGACTTTGTTCTGATTGTTTGATCCCATGTGATCTCGAACAATGTGATGACTGCTGGTAAGACTTGAGAACAGTCGAACAAGACAACCAGAAGAAAGTCGAATTTAATTTGACAACCGACGAATTCGGGGAAGGAAGTGAAATCCAACCTGACAATGTCAGAAAAATAATCCAAACAACAGAATATGATGCTAGCAGCAATTCAAGTAGTTGGATAACTAAAACAAAAATGAACGAAAAATTTGATATGGAAGATCACAAGAAACCAACTGAACTTACCAAAAGCAATAATTATCTAGTGAAAGTCTATACCAATGAAGGAAAAGGGAGAATGCCCGAACGAGCACACATTACTGATGCTGGCTTCGACCTATGGTATTCCGAAGGACAGACTATTCGCATTAACCCACAACAAACAGTTCTAATTGATCTTCAGGTTGCCTTTAAAATCCCTGCAGGAACCATTTGTCAACTGATGTCCTGATCCTCTTTAGCTAAATGCGGAATTGAAGTAAAAGATGGAACTATAGATGCGGGATATACAGGAAATATAGGAGTACTATTATATAACAATTCGACCCAACCATACGACATTCAATTCAAGGAACGGATAGCTCAGGCTGTATTTCTCAGATTGGCTGACATCGCTGAAATGCGAGAGGTCACGACAAGACAAGAGTTGCAAAGATCAAGCTGAGGAAATGCCAGATTTGGTTCCACAGGTCACGATGAATTAGAAATCTACTTCCTTGATAAAGATCAAAGTAAAAAAGTAATAGAACAAAGAACATTAACACAACAACAAACAAAAATTGTTAAAAACATATCAGGATATCTTTGCTATCGATATGACTGACTTGGGTCGAACAAATCCATACGCGAAGAAGTACAAAGAATACTAAACGCAGGAATCATACAACAATCCAACAGTCCGTGGGCTTCGCCTGTAGTCATAGTTAATAAGAAAGATGGGAAGAAGCGTTTCTGCATAGATTATCGAAAGATTAATAATATTACAAAAAAGGATGCATACCCTTTACCCAGGATCGATGAAATGCTGGATAATTTGGATCACGCAAAATGGTATTCGTCGCTGAACCTGACCAGTGGATACTGGCAAATCGGAATGAACGAACAAAATATCAAGAAAACTGCTTTCATTTCCAGAAAAGGTCTCTATGAGTTCCTCGTAATGCCATTCGGTCTCTGTAACGCACCCGCGACTTTTCAACGAGCAATGGACGTGATGTTAGGTGACTGTAATTGGAAGTATGCAATGGTTTACATTGATGACATCAACATATACTCCGGAAATTATGAAGACCACTTGCATCATCTAGAACAAGTGTTCCAACGGATCAGGAAAGCCAGACTTAAATTAAACTTAAAAAAATGTAATTTTGTAAGAAAAAGCCTACCTTTTCTAGGTCACATCATCACCGAGGAAGGAATTTTGATGGACCCCTCCACTGTAAAGAAGATCCAGGAATTCCCACAACCATGTACGGTTAAATCACTTCGTTCGTTTTTTGGATTAGCCGGATACTATAGGAAGTTCGTGAAAGGCTTCTCCCAAATTGCTGCCCCTTTATTTCGTCTACTAAAAAATGATGTAAGATTTACATGGAGAAAGGAACAGGAAAAAGCTTTCGGAGAACTCAAAAAAAGACTCACCTCAGCTCCGATCTTAATATACCCAGATTTTACACGAAAGTTTTATTTATATACAGACGCCTCCGATACCGGATTAGGAGCAGTGTTATCACAAAAAGACGATGAGAAT